TTATTAAATGGCAAATGGCTCACTTTTTATACGTACAGGTACAACTACCAAGTGTCATTTAATCAGATATAAAGTGATAATACTTGAATGTTAACTTTTCTCCATTTTTATGCAAACTAGCAATATTTCAAGTCTAAACTTTTGTTGCAATTTATTAACAATTTTTATTTCAAAATATTTTATGTGGTAACAAAGGTTCTCAATAACGAATAACTCAATAAATCGATCGAGCTATTGATTCAATATTTCACTGGTTAAACTAATATTTAATTAAATTATATGTTAAATATATATTAGATTAAATAAATTATATATCTGAAATCATCATTACCTAAATATTTGGATAATAAAAAATGTTCAAGTGCCTAACCAAGCTGGACAGTTGATCGGTTTGCAGTCCGGTCCAATTTCCAAACAATAGTAGTAATAAGTGAAATTTAAGAAAAAAAATAAAAATGATAAACATATATAGATCAACTCCAATTGAAGATTTCTCTAAATCTAATTCTAAACACTACCATATTATCTTGATTCCTTCATCAGTGGACAATACATACAAAGAAAATGTCAAAATATTACAGCCTAATCCTTCTCACAAAAAAAAATCACTCTCTTTGCAACAAACTCCCCATTTCAAGACATATCATCTCTTTACACGTGTCATTGTTTCATCAATACTAAATCATCAATTTGAAAATAGTTTGGTGGGCTATAAATATGCATGCAACTAATTTCATCCTGCATGAATCACACACACACACAAACACAAAAATTACATTAGGACAAAGAAAACGAGAAAAAAAGTTGTAACTGCAAACAAAGAAAAAAGTCCAAAAAACACTACCTTTCTACATAATAATGGCACTAGCCATTTTCACCTTCTCAGCCACCACCAAAACCACCGTATTAGTGGCGGCTCTCCTCCTCCTCGTCCTTGGCGTCTCCACCGCATTCGAGAAGCTACCAAAATCGGACATCGATCTTTTGGAGTTCCCGTTGAATTTGGAGTATTTGGAGGCAGAGTTCTTTTCATGGGGCGCTTTTGGCCGCGGATTGGATGCTTTGGCCCCGAATCTAACGAAAGGCGGCCCACCGCCGATTGGGCCCATGAGAGCCAAACTCAGCCCATTTACTAGAGACGTCATCGCGCAGTTTGCGTTGCAAGAATTCGGGCATCTCAGGTGAACTTTTTTACTTCATTCACCTTAAATTTTTCACTTCTGAATTTGGAGATAGACTCAGAATTTTTGCTTTTAGAGGGAAAGTTTAAGATGTCTTTCTAAATTCAGGATTTTTGACACTATAGCAAGTAAATTAGGTCGCAAGCTCACCATATTAGTTACTTTCTTGAATAACTCATCTCTAAGAAGTATTTTTTCTAACAAGAAGGGAAAAAAAATAGTAGATTTTAGTTGATCAACAGCTAGCTTTCTAACTTGATGCCTTGATGCAGGGCAATTCAGAGTACGGTTCCGGGATTTCCGAGACCTCTTCTAAATTTAAGTAAAGAAGTATTCGCGACAATCATGAATGACGCGTTCGGAAAGCCTCTCGTGCCTCCGTTTGATCCCTATGCCGATGACATCAAATATCTTATTGCAACCTATGTCATCCCTTACGTTGGACTCACCGGTTATGTCGGAGCAAATCCCAAACTCCAAAGCCCGGTTTCCAAAAAGGTATCGCCAAAAAAAAATAAAAAATCATATTCCATATTCTGTTACATATTCCATATTCCGTTCGTCGTTCAATCACAATCGGTACACGAATTTGAAAAAATCATGCAAAACTTGTAATCCAATTCTTCTGATCTTTTATTTTTACAAACTTTTGGTATGCTTGGATTTCTATTTATAGCTTGTGGCGGGACTTTTGGGTGTGGAATCGGGTCAAGATGCCGTGACTAGGACATTACTCTACGAGCACGCGCTCACAAAGGTATTTCCTTACGATATCACTGTGGCGGAATTTACTGACAGGATTTCAAACCTTAGAAACAAGCTCGGGAAGAAGTGTTTGAAAGATGAAGGCCTAATAGTTGAACCAAAATTAGGGGCAGAGGGCAGAATCTCAGGGAACGTGCTTGCGGGGGATCATTACTCACTGTCATATGCACGAACGCCTGAAGAAATTCTAGGGATAGTGTATGGGACCGGACGTGAGGACAAGCCCGGGGGATTCTATCCAAAAGGAGCCTGTGGTAAAATAGCCAGGTCATATTTACAACATTGAGGGGAAATACTTGGAGAAGAAAACCTAAGAGAGTGAATTTTATGAATGGGTTTTTACTATTATGTAATGTGTGTTTTGTGTTCTCTGTATTGCTTGAGCTTGGAGTGTATCAATTGTTATGAATGACAATAAGATTGAAGTGCCTTCAATCCATTCAAGACTTGAGTTCATTTACAGACTCGTATAGTGTTTCACATATAGTGTTTCACAATCGTATTTTTATAATGTTTATTTTTCGTATCGTGTTTTAGGTCGTGCCAACAATTGTCACCCCTAATCACAAGGAGCACTTGTATAACATGAGAATATTACCAACCGTAAGACAATACCGATGATCGATAACCAATTCACAAAAACCCTTAAACAGTATAAGACAACACTGAAACCTAACCAAGTACTTACTCACACAAAACTAAAACTAAAAGTACTCGGGGGAATTACATGAAGCTAGCCAAGAAAGTCGACATTAGTCCCTAACGACTGTGTTACCATGGAAAATACAAAGAAAAAGATACCAACAGCGACTCGTAACTAACATTCAGAAGGTTTTGAGATGTGGGTGGTCTGAGTGTTGGAATGACCAAAATGCCCTTATCGTTTGGATGGTCTCTCGTCATCCTCCTCTCCACCATCACTGTCGTCCGAGTCATCGTCCTTGGACGAGCGCTTTCTCTTTGGTGGGGCCTCGATTTTTCCACCTGTATTATCCTCATCATCATCATCTTCTTCTTCATCTCCCTCTTCAAATTCCTCATCACCATTCTCTTGTGGCTCGAAATCACTGGCATCTTCCTCATCCTCAGCACGGCCCACCGGCCTCACTAGGTATTCTGTTCCGAGATCCTCCTGAGAGCAACATACATAAGTTTATGCATTATTAGTACAAATCTTAACTTAAGCAGAAACAAAGAGAAAAAAGGACTCGGTGAAATATATTGATCCAATGATTTCTAGTAAAACTAGTCAGCAGGTATAATGGTATATATGATATGGCATTGTGCAAAAACAAATGTTGGAAGAGCTAATTTTCCTCATGACAAGAATCTAGACAAAACCTCAGGTTCCTCAGTAGGACACATCCCAAGCATTTAGAGTACCAAAAAAGCTGGCTGGGGACTTGAACATAAAAGGGTTTCATTTGATTCAATAAACAACTTGCAACTTTCACATGGAACTGGATAATGAGCAAAGAGGTGGGTCAATGTGTACTAGATAAAATTGCTCTATAGAAATGCTTGTGATGAATACTTCGATTTTTCTTAAAATCGCAAATAACAAACATTTCAAGATTTCGTTTCCCACAAAATAATATAATCTTATTGTAGCTTTAGACAAATTTCAAATGACAAATAACATGAACATGGATCCAGATCCAACCAGTTTCAACAAGAATTCGATCAAATCAACAATCAGAAATAGATAGAGAGCATAATTTTCTTAAAGAAACAGAAACCCAGAAACGGATATATATAGTTACAGATTCAAACAAGTATTAGCTCCTGTATGCACCAAACAGATCAATACTCCAGGCAAAAGCTCCAGATCTGACAACTTCCAACAAAGTACACATAAACAACAAGCTCACCGTAAATAGCAAGAGTCAGACAAGAAAAACAAAGACAAATTAGCTCTAAAACAATGGAAATGCTAGCAAATACGAGCCCAAGCATGCACTGAAATTATTAATTACTCCAAATCTCCAAATCTCCAAATCCAAATCATTTTTCAAGCACAAACTTCATCTAATGCCACAAAAAAAAAAGAACTAAAGTCAACAAGAACAGTTTCATAAGATCGAAGTTAAAAAATCGAGCTTTTTAAAAAGTCCAGAAACAGTATTACCTCTTCTTCTTCTTCGTCATCCTCATCTCCCTGTGCCCTACCTCCACTGATGTTCAGCACTTCCTCCTCGTCCTGCTCCTCCACCACCTCTTCTTCTTCTTCCTCATCATCATCATTGCCCTCAATTT